CCCCAAAACCCCAAAACCCCAAAACCCCTTTAAGATATTTTTAAGTTGAAAAATGAACTGAAATCCCAAAAAGAAATACATATTGTTTTAGCAAGAAAGAAGACTATGTCTGATCTAAAGTGAGACAGCTTAGGATCTCAATTCCATTGAAGATTAGCTTGCCAATATCAAAGTTATTTTGGTAACTGTTGGATTTGTAAGTATCCAAGCCTACAGGTTAAAACTGTTCTTTACCCAAGATGGTAATATATTTTCCATATGTGTTAGTGGGCATTTTGATTGAGTAGGTATGAGAGCCAGTCTAATTGTTAAACTTCTTGAATTACATTTAAGCTATAAGCAATGGCAGCAAGTCTGTAGTTGTAATCTTCTATCACCTGAGTCATGTCCAGAGATTCCATCATAGGCAAGTACTCCTAAGATTTTGGTAATTTAGAGGCAATTCTACCAAAATCTTTCTTGAACTCCTCTGTAAAGTTAAAATTTATATTACCTTTGGTATTGAAATTAGACTTCTTGGAGTAAAACTTTTGGAAAAATTCCAAACAATTTTCCTCCGTGCTCGAAACTTTAGGAATAATTCCAAAACTTGGAGCATTATTATAATGATCCTTAATCTATAAGAATAATTGATTAAAATAAGCTATGACAAACAAGCATAAAAGGATGCAAAGCACGAGTGTCTCAGTTGTTTGGTTGCAGTTTTTTAACAATTAATTCCTCTAAATTATTATCAAACCAATCTTTACTTATTTACATGAAAGATCAGCCTCTAGAGTAAGCCCTGCTACACCTCTTCCTTGCAGCATTGAGGAATAAGTTGGACTTTGCTATACTAGGCAAGCTCTGACAGACCTACATCAAATATATGGATGCTTCCATCTTTATATTACCAATCCTATCAGTAATTTTTCAACTAAGGGACCAAAAACATAATCTATTGTTCATGTATTACCTCCTTCTCCTCTATTACCCTCTTTTGTCTATCTCTAAATTTGTTCTTAATCTCTTTCTTGTATTCTAAACCAATGATCTTATGCAAAACCCAGCTAATACACTAGTCTTTTCATCAAAATATCTATGAATCATTGAACTTACCTTCTTCAGACTCATTTCTGTACTTTCGCCTAGGTTTCTTCATAACACAGTTAGTGACCTTCTTTCCGTTCCATTCCAAAGAGTCGTACAGAACCTTGGCAATCGTTGTGAGAAGGTGGTCTTCTGGGATCACTGGGTAGTCATGCATAAAGATCGCAAAAGCTTTGATGTTGCAAGTGCAAAGGTGATATGAGCCAATCTTAGTGATTAAGGTTATATATTTACCTTGATCTCTGTGAGCATAAAGTTTTAGTCGCTAGCAATATCTCTTTGAATTGTAGAAATTTCTATTTTAATAGGTGAAGTCCTAAGGTGTTTTTAGTGTCAAACTCTATGATCTTAGTATGCTCCTATATTTGTCATCAGTTCTTCCCACAGCACCGTAGAACTTATCTGAAGGATTTGTAAAGCATTTGTCATGAGCAATTCAGTGGGTTTTTGTAAGTGCAGTTTTCAAGGAGAGTGTATGCATTATTGAAAGAAATTCTTTTTGATTCCCTATTTCTAAAATGTAATGTATATAATTGATAAATCTTGAAAAGAAGAAAAGTGTAATTTAATCACCTACTAATGTCAAATATCTATTTATAAACTTCACGGGCAAAGAAATTAATTTAGTGGCTAATTCTAAATTAAAAATAATAAAGACTGTTAAGGGAGTTACCTTGTTTTAAAGACCTTAGAATCTTCCTTTTCAAAAGAAGAACTTTCACTGCCACAATAAGCAAATCTATCAGAATCTCTTCTATATTTTTATTTTTTAAGTTCCTCAAGAGTTGCGCAATGATACAATCTAGCTAACTCATTTACCTGATCGACTCTAGCAATCTTTGCATTTGTCTTAATTTTTTTCTGAATAGGGAAGAGCTGTTATGCACATTAGTCCATTTGGATAGTATTTATCTGGGAAAGAGTTGTAATATTTGCCAGTCCCTTGGAAGATAGCAGACACATTCTTGAATCCTCTTTGATGCCCAGCAGTGGTTCTATGAATCAAGTAAATATTTTTATTATGATAAAAATGAAGGGATGACTATAAATTTCATTAAGAAAAATATCTAATTTTTCAAATTCAATTAAGAACAGTAAATCAACTTGCCTCTCACACATAACCTTAAGCTGATTGCCTTCACTAAAAATATTTCTCAGAATCCTAATTACGTTTGAGCTTGGGTCATCATATATCTTAAAATATTTTCTTTCAGACCTGTATTTAGTTTATATACTTACTCCTTTGTTACTTCTTTACTGTTCTCTTCTTGCTTTACTTTTCTAAGATCCAAAATTGAGTTATGATATTCTTGCTCTCTGGGATAGTATTTTATCATACCCAGATAATTGTCAAGCATTCTTCTGAGTAGTTCAGTATCTATCCTATATTTATAAGCCGAATGCTGTTGCCTCAAAGGCGAATTAACTCTAACTTCAAAGATAGATGAGAAATCATTTAGAGGCCAAAATATCTATCAGAATGTTAAAATTCTAAAAAAATCCCAACTTTGCCCTATCTAACCTCCAAGCGCTTACATAATATTATGATAAAACGTCTTATCGACAAGTTCAAGTCTCTGGTACATCAAATCTTGGAATTCAAGAAAGAGAAGTATTTCTCTAATGATGACATTCAAAAGGTTCATTTTTATTATTTCCTAAACTTCAACTCCAACATCATCTTAAGGGGTTTTGGGGTTTTGGGGTTTTGGGGTTTTGGGG